CAATGAATTTTTCTACTCCCACGCACAGACAGTTCTGATTCTACCGATTGTCTGATCTATAAATAGAATTTCGTTGTTCTTATGGTAGTTCTAATTGTACCGGTTGTCTGATCTATAAATGAATTTTCTACTTTCCTATACAGATACTGCTAATTCTACTGATCCTCTGATGTAGAAACAGAATTATTCTATATTTACTTACTCTTATTCTACTAGTTGCCTAATCTATAAATGAACTTTTCTATTTTTATATACAGACGCTTCTAATTCTATTGATTGTCTGATTAATCAATGAATTTTTCTACTTTGATGTATACGAGTCGTAATTCCACTGATTGTCTGATCTATAAATGAATTTTTCTACTGTCACGCATGGTAGTACCAACTCTACTGAGTGTCTGATCTATAAATGAATTTTTCTACTGTCACGCATGGTAGTTCCAACTCTACCGAGTGTCTGATCTATAAATGAATTTTTCTACTTTTATACACAGACGCTTCTAATTCTACTGATTGCCTGATCTATAAAAGAATTTTTCTACTTTGATATATGAGATATCAATGATCTATAAATGAAGTTTCCTATTTTTATATAGGATTTTTATATTATACTATTTTTTATAATATTTTATATTATACTATTTTTATATTTAATCCATAAAATAATTTTACTACTTTGGCATATGCGACTCTAATTCTACCGATTGTCTGATCTATAAACGTATTTTGCTACTTCTATACACAAACGCTTCTAATTCTACTGATTTCGTGATCTATAAAAAAATTTTCTACTTTCATGTATGGGAGCTCCGATTCTATTGATTGCCTGATTTATAAATGATAAAATGATAAATTAACTGATAAATTAATTTCACCACTTTGACGTATGCGATTCTAATTCTACCGATTGTCTGGTCTATAAATAAACTCTTCTACTGTCTTGTATGATACTGTACTAACTGTCTGATAAATAAATGATAAAATGATAAATTAACCGATAAATTAATTTCACTACTTTGACGTATGCGATTCTAATTCTACTGATTGTCTGAACTATAAATAAACTCTTCTACTGTCTTGTATGATACTGTACTAACTGTCTGATAAATAAATGATAAAATGATAAATTAACTGATAAATTAATTTCACTACTTCGACGTATGCGATTCTAATTCTACCGATTGTCTGATCTATAAATAAACTCTTCTACTGTCTTGCATGATAGTTCCAATTCTACTGAGTGTCTGATCTATAAATGAATTTTTCTACTTTAATACACAGACGCTTCTAATTCTACTGATTGCCTGATCTATGAATGAATGTTTCCACTTTCCCATGTACAAATAATTGCGATACTTTTTCACTGTCTGATCTACAAACGAATCATTCTACTCCCGCATACGAACACGATTAATTCTACCGATAGTCTTACCTATAAATTAATGCTTCTGCTGTCACCAATACAAACACATCAAATTTTACAGTGATTCCGAAGACAAAGAGGTTCTAATGAAACGCCTTCGCTGCTACAGCATTTCACGAATTAATATTTCTATTGAAGCCGGCTCGAAGTAGTTTTAAGCAATTGTCTTAATCTACCGGCTAATTGCTCCACTTCTGTCCGTGTTCGAATGTCTTATTCCACTAGGAACACTCGGGGAGTCACTACATAAAAGTACGATCTTCAGCAACGATCAACGATTCCCTCTACTTGCCCGATCTATAAATTCCTTTTCTACTTACACCACGCACGTCCACCGGTTCCACTGATATCGCAGAAGCGGTTAACGATGAACGCCTGTTTCGCGTGTTAATCTCTGTTCGGAACGAACTCCACGGCACTGTTCTGAACAAGGTCGTGTCCTCATCTCTGGAACAGGTCGAGTTGATCTCGATACTTGTTCTTTCCCGCCGCAAGACGTTTTTTTTGCTGAACAGAGAGAGACGCTATGAGCGACGGTGCTATCAATAATTCGAGGACAATGTCTGGATCGTGTTGCGCCATCTGTCGAGGCTGATTAATTATCCAATTACTTTCAATTATTGAAGGGTATCTAAAAATTTGAGAATATTGGAATAATCTGACTTGGAATGTTCATTGACACAGGATCCAAATTTGTAGTGTAATATTAGATCATGATATTTATGACATTATTGTGCTATAATTTTGCAATTATTAAAGAATGTGTAAAGATTATGTATGAAGTCTCGAAGATTTAATAATATTCGAGAGATTATAATCGAGAGATTTTAATAAGTCTCGAAAATTTCAGAATATTCGAATATTCTGACTTGGAATGTTTATTGACACAGGATCCAAATTTCTAGTGCAATATTAGATCATGATATTTATGACATTATTGTGCTATAATTTTGCAATTATTAAATAATGTGTAAAGATTATGAAGTCTCGAATATTTAATAATATTCGAGAGATTATAATCGAGAGATTTTAATAAGTCTCGAAAATTTGAGAATATTCGAATATTCTGACTTGGAATGTTCATTGACACAGGATCTAAATTTGTAGTGTGATATTAGATCACGATATTTATGACATTATTGTGTAATAATTTTGCAATTATTAAAGAATGTGTAAAGATTATGAAGT